ACCATACATTACATACATACATACATACCCTAATATCATACATACAATACATAAACACTACATACACATACAAGTACATACATACATACATACCTTACACTACATACATGACTACCCATATCATAATACCATACATTACTACATCATTACATTACATACATACATACATTACATTATCATAATACTTACATACATACATAAATCACATAACATAATAGCGTACTAGCATACATTACATTACAATAACATACATACACATTACTACCATACATTACATTAAGACATACATAACATACATACATCATACATACATACATAATAACATACAACATACATACAATACATAATCACATAAATCATCACAATACATACATAATACATACATACATACATACATTCACATGACATCACATACATACATCACATACCATCTACATACATTACATACGATAGCATTAAATAATACATACATACATACATACAATCATACCATACATACATACATACATACATGAACTAATACATGTACATAACCCATACGCATACATACCCTACATACATACATACATACTGAACATCCACATACATAACATACCATACTACATACATACATACAATAATTACATACATACATAAACATACATACATACATACATAATACATACCTTGACATTACATACATCTAATAATACATACATACTAACATACATACAATACATACATTACTCATAGCGATACCATACATACATACCAATACCATACATGCATTACATACATATACAGTACAATCATCATAGCATACGAATACTACTACATACGATACTGACATAGCATACATTATCATCATAAATACATACATAAACATAACTACATTACAATAACATAACATACATAGATAAATACATTGACCACTACATACTACCATACATACTAAATGCATACATAATACATACCATACTCACACATGACCTATACATACACACTTACATACAACTACTAACATACCAATAACTACATACAACATTACATACGGCATACATACTATACATACATACCATACATAATACATACATTAACATCATCACGATAACATACGACTCAAATATTAGCATTAGATACATATATATTTATAAGAGATGACGGAGAGAGAGAATGAGAGAGAGGGAGCGAGAGAGAGGAGAGATGAGAGAGAAAGAAGGACGAGAGACGAGATGAGAAGAGGAGAGAGCAGAGAGGAGAAGAGAAAGAGAGAGAGATTACAGAGAGAGAAAGGAGCAGAGAGAAAGAAAACCTGAGGAAACAGAAGAGAAAAGAGAGGGAGAGAGCAGGAGAAACAGAAACGAGAACGGAACGAGAAACAGAAAAGAGAGAAGAGAAGGAGAGGCAGAGAGAGGCAGAGAGACGGACTACTGTATGAAGACTGAGTACGCGTCACGGTGCATCCGGCATCTGTAGCAGATACAGCAGGTATAGCGGCGGCGGTAATGTTGTGTACACTCGATCAAATATCATCTCGGATATTAGCGTCACAGTGACAGGACGCGTTTAATCACCGTCTAGCTGCTGTGACCCAGGTGCTCATCATCATCATATCTCACCATCGATCAATCATCTCATCATATCATTCCAATCATCATCATCATCATCATCACTTACCGCGCGAGGTAGACTTACGTTCCTTCAACCTTTACCGCTCTTTAACAGAGAGAACAAACGGTGAGCTCTTCTCGCAAGTAATCACGCTGGCCGATAGACCAGAAAAAAGGAGTGAGCAGAAGAAAGAGAGCCGAAGAGAGGAGGATGAGGGGGAATTGACTCGGGAGAGAGAGTAGGAGGCGAGAGAGGAGACGAAGTGAGAGAAGAGAGAGAGAGAGAGAGCGCGAGCGAAGCGAGAGAGAGAGAGATCGGAGACGAGAGAGAGAGCTATAGAGTAGAGAGTGGAGCTGGCCTCGAGAGAGACAGAGCAGACAGGAGCAAGGAGAGGGGGAGAGACGAAACCAGAGACGGAGTAGAGACGATATTAAGAGAGAGCAAGGAGAAGAGAAGAGGAGACGGAGAGACGAGATGAGAAATTTGAGAAAAAATAAAGATGTAATACCGCGAACTTGCGCATTCAATTGTCTTACATAAAGAGAGAAGAGAGAGAAGAGTGGAGGACAAGAGGCAAATAGAGCAGAAAGAAGAAAGGAGTAATAATAGAGAGAGAGATAAGAGAGAGAGAGGAGGAAATGATTAGAAGAGAGAGCAGCCAAAAGATAGAGCGTACAAAAGGGAGATCGTGACAGAAATGCTGCACCGAAGAGTTTTGAGAGAGAAGAGAGAAGAGAGAGAGAGAGATGAGAGAGACGGAGTAGGAGAGGAGAAGAGGAGAGAAGAGAGATGAGAGAGATAGTAGAGAGAGAAGAGAAGAGAGAGAGAGAGAGAGAGAGAGAGAGAAGACGGGTAGGAGAGGGGACGCAATGAGACCAGACGCGAGATCATTCTTATTACGAGTAACTAGGTTCGTCCGTCTGCACGGTTCATATAGCCACCCTCCCGTGCCATGAGCCTCTCCAATAACCATGCTATGTTTGACATACGTGTCGGACTGTGCGAGAGCTGAGGGAAAATTCAAAGATAACATAGAATGTCTTTGTCGACGCTTCTAGCATTAGTGTATCAAAACGCTTCGGTGTTTTTGCTGCTTTACATTCTGTTGACATCCGTCAACTTAATACCATACCAGCGAGCGCGCGCTCCCCCTCTCTCTCTATCTCTATTATTATCTATCTTCTCTCTCTCCTCTCTCTCTCTCTCTCCTCTCTTTTCTCTCTCTCCTCCTCTCTCTTCTCTCTCTCTCTCGCTCGTGCTGGCTGTCACCCCCGCTCACCTCCTCTCTCTCTCCACTCCTCTCCTTGTTCTCTCTGTCACCCCCGCTCACCTCCTCTCTCTCCACTCCTCTCCTTGTTCTCTCTGTCACCCCCGCTCACCTCCTCTCTCTCCACTCCTCTACTTGTTCTCTCTGTCACCCGCGTTCACCTCCTCTCTCTCTCCACTCCTCTCTTTTTCCTCTCTGTCACCCGCTGCCACCTCCTCTCTCTCTCCACTCCTCTCTTTATTCTCTTTGTCACCCGCGTTCACCCTCTCTCTCGCTCCTCTCCTCTCTTTTTTCTCTCTGTCCCTCCTCTCTCATCACGCCCATATTTTCCTCTCTATCAGCCTCCTTTTTCGTTTTTTTCTCTCTCGCTCTTACCCCTATCTCCATCTCCGAACTATCTATCTGTCTTTCGTTATCTCTAGAGGTTATCTACAACCCCCTGCTGATCTCCTAACACTTCCGTTCTTTCTGTGCAATCGCGCGTAATTATTTAATAATTGCGTAATTGTTTGATAATTGTGTTTCTTCCAAATGACCAGCTTTGCGGACGAACACCTCGCGCGAGACCTCATTCACTTACACACAAACTAATGACGACACACACGTAGACTAATGACGCGATAATAATGCAGCCGAAGGTTTAACAGTCAACTTGGAACTACGCGAAGCCGCAAAAACAAATGAATGCTTTTGTGCTGTAAGGCGGCCTTTATTATTAATAACTATTATTAATATTAAGCCTCTATATTAAGCATTATATTTGTACAAACGGGCAGGTGTATGCCTTCGGTGTTTCCAAATTAGCAAGCGCGACTAAGGTGCAAGGATCCCTGAATGTCTCTTGGGTCATTGCAAGGTGTCATATGTCATATGTAATACGAAGTCGTAACGTATATATGGACTCTTGCGATCCAATTTGTGAGGATTGATCGTTCTCGCAGATGTATCGTTGCAATTTTTTCGATGAAAATCTACGGCAAAAAAACACATTTACGACTAGTAGTACTAATATTTGCCGTTATCATCGTTTTGACAACGCCACCTGGGGCCCCGTTGTAGGAAACCGCATAAATAGTTATACGACATCATGAATGTAAAATGTCATTACTTTCGAAATTGAGAGTTTTTCACGCCAAACACTAACTACAATTTAGACTTATGACAGTCATAAACCATTCATGGCTCGTCTAATAGAGACTCCCCCCCGGGGGTTCGTAAATCTACATCATTATGTATTAACAAAGCCGCGTACACGCAACTCTACGACACCTATAAACCGCATACTAGTATCTCCTCAACGCGCTGCTCTCTTGGCATTTGATGCTCATGTGCATACACGCGCTTTGTTGCGTTTTCGCTGTTTTTTCTTTATTTAATCGCGGGGACCGTAACGGATTCGTGCCTTTCATCACATGCCGAGGGATGTAATCGCCACAATTAGAGCGGCGAAACTCGGTCGGTGAGTAGTTCTGAGAGGGTTTATATATATATATGCTCGTGAAGAATATAACGCTGGGTATTGCGGTATATAAACTATTAATTTTGTTTGTTTCTTCTGTTTATATTTAGCTCTATAGCCGAATCACAGCGAGCGATAAGCGCAGGGAACCCACGCCGAGTAGAGGCAGTGACTTCATCTGTGCAGCATAGCTGGCTCTCCTGTTCACCTCACATACTCAATTAACGTTAATGATTACCGCTCCTGATCGTAACGGCCGCTAGAAGGCTTACTCACCAGAGTAGCCGGCAGGCTACTCAGTTAGTGTAGCCGTGCGGAACATAACGACTGTATCATACAGGATAACACTCAATACGCACTGCGCGTTTATTCTACCAGGAGTAAATAAAATAAAAGCAAAAATGCGTTTATATTCAATCCCGATACTACATATAATAACATCGAAATATCCTCTTGTTCTATGTTAGCTTCATGCGGGCTCGAGACTACGCATTAACTACGCATTGACTACGCATTAACTACGCATTAAATACGCATTAACTACGCATTAACTACGCATTAACTACGCATTAACTACGCATTAACTACGCAGTAACTACGCAGTAACTACGCAGTAACTACGCATTTTCTCGGATTTTCACACATCACTTGCGAGACTGAGCGTCAAGCTACGGGAATCCTTACCTTCTCCCTAGCGAGTAGCCGCTGGAGGCGAAGCGCGTCTGCGTCTTCTCCGCATCCTGTCTGCCGTACAGCGACGCACCCTGCTTGCCGTCGCCGTCGACGTTGACCTGCGTCCGACGATTGCCCGACGCGTGGTAACCACCGTCGCTCGTCGGCCCGTACGTCGCCGTCGTCGCGTAGTCGGGAAAGTTGGTTGTTTGTCCGTATCCGGAGGCGAGAGGCTGGGCCGAGAGCCCGCCGATGTTGTAGGTGCTGCTGCTGCTGCTGCCGTATCCACCGCTGCCCACGTTATTGTTGGTTGCCAATGGGGTACCGTAGCTTTGGCTGCCTGTGCCGTAGCCAGTGTTGCCTTGGTTATTGTTGCCTTGGTTACCGTTGCCGTAGCCGTCGCTAACCTGAACGGGAGTGCCGTAGCCCGTGCTCTGCTGTTGGTTGCTGATGCCGTAGCCGCCGTTGCCTTGGTTACCGTTGTTACTATAGCCGGTGTTGCTTTGGGTGTTACTTCCGTAGCCATCGCTACCTTGGTTATTAACACCGTAGCCACTGCTCGCTTGGTTACTAACACCATAGCCATTGCTAGCTTGGTTACTGACACCATAGCCATTGCTAGCTTGGTTACTGACACCATAGCCATTGCTAGCTTGGCTGTTGGTGCCGTAACCATTGCTGCTGCCTTGCGAGGCAGTACCATAGCCTCCGTTTGCACTGCTCGTAAACGTGCCGTAACCGATGTTGGGACTGCTGTTTGCTCCCGATCCAGCGCTGGGAAATAGGTTGACGGGTTCGTATGAGCCTGTCGATGCTCCTGCCAGCGTTACGAGTCCTAGGAATACCGCCTGCCACATCATGATGGTGTAATAATTCCTGATTCTGTGGAAAATAACAGAACACACATAGGTGTGTATATATATATATATATACAAATTTATAAATATATACATATATATATTGTATATATATAATAATACATACATAAATATATACAATTTTTCCTTATATATTATTATATAGAAAATTCATAAATCGATACAATTTTGCTCGGTAAAATCAGTATTTCTATATTTCATTCTCTTCGCTATCTTTTGCAGATTATCCATAATTAATGACACAAATGCTACATGTCGCTGCAAACCGCTTATGCCGACGACGTCTACTGCTGCTGCTGTTACTGATGCTGCTGTTGCTGCTGCTGCTGCTGCTGCCGCTGTTACTGCTGCTAGCCTTCACGATTGCGATAACTTACGTATTACTGCTGCTCGTGTGTGCGAAGGAAGGGAGTGGGAGAAGCAGGAACACTTCTAGCGACTCATCCGTCTTTCCGTTTTGCTGCTGCTGTGGATCGGAGACACGACTGACCCCCGCACGATGTCCGCTGTTTGGCACACCAACCGTAATGCGTACGATTTTAATCTGATCAGCTGCTTTATATAGAGCCCCAACTGGTGGCGCGGCACGGTTAAGTGGGTCGGTGTTGTTAGGAGCGACTCCTCGCGCGTCCATCTATGCCAGCAGCAGCAGCAACAACAAACAACCGACCACCAGCAGCAGCAACAGTAGTAGTAGTAGTAGTAGTAGTAGTGAGTAGTAGTAGTAGCAGTAGTAAAAGAAATATTGCTAGTAGTAGTAGTAAGTAGTAGTAGTAGTAGCAAGCAGCAGCAGCAGCAATAACTACAGCAGGCAGCAGTATAGTAGTATGTAGTAGTTAATAGTAGTAGTAGTAGTAGTAGTAGTAGTAGTAGTAGTAGTAGTAGTAGTAGTAGTAGTAGCAGTAGTAGTAGTAGTAGTAGTAGTAGTAGTAGTAGTAGTAAGTAGTAGTAGTAGTAGTAGTAGTAGTAGTAGCAGCAGCAGGACAGCAATAACAACAGCAGCAGCAGTAGTAGTAGTAGTAGCAGGAGTAAGATAATATAGATCTATATATTATCTTACTCCTGGTAGTAGTAGTAGTAGTAGTAGTAGTAGTAGTACGTAGTAGTCAGTGAGTGGAAGGCAGTAGTAGTCAGTGAGTGGAAGGCAGTAGTAGTCAGTGAGTGGAAGGCAGTAGTAGTAGTAGTAGTAGTAGTAGTAGTAGTAGTAAGTAGTAGTAGTAGTAGTAGTAGTAGTAGTAGTAGGCAGGCAGCAGCAGCAGCAGCAATAACAAGCAGCAGCAGCAGTAGTAGTAGTAGTAGTAGTAGAGTAGTAGTAGTAGTAGTAGTAGTAGTAGTAGTAGTAGTAGTATAGAACTAGTAATAGTAGCCAGCAAGCAGCAACAACAACAACAACAACAACAACAACAACAACAACAACAAGCTACCTAGGTTCGCGGGCGCACGCCTGGCACGCACGCTGCATACAAAACATGCATACATCACGGAAGGCTCTTCGCTCCGATTGTTTTGTCCGAGCGTTACGTTTTTTCCCCATTTTATCAGATCTTAAGTGACCACTCGGCACCGAGGTGTCATTCTCTGCCCGAATTTACATCTCACCAGAGATGTAATCTAATCGAGGAAGACTCGTGAACAGTAACAGTTCGCGTGCGCCGAAGAAAGCAATCATCAACGCATGACTAATGGAATTGCGAGCGGCCGGTGCAAGGCGAGGTGGGGGAGGGGGGGGGAAGCGCCCGTGTCAATTACGCGAATTGTAGGGCATCCTTTAGGCGTCCTATTGGCGACCTTTGGCCGTCTGATCTTATCTTGCCGTGCTACGCAACGATCTACTCGGAAATAGCAAGAGAGGCGTAAGAGAGAGAGAGAGAGAGAGGAGAGAGAGAGAGAGAGAGACAGAGAGACAGAGACACAGAGAGAGGGAGAGATCGGTGAATGGATTGATAGTTCGCTATATACTTATATACTAGCTGCGGGTACCCGCTGCGCTGGGTAAAATCGTGCTACTAATTCATACTACTAATAATCGGACACAATAGGAACATTGGGTAATAATGGAGAATAACACTGCAGACAATATCAATATTTACAAATCAGTTTGATAAGCCAGCCACCCATGGCTAATAATTGGGCGTTATATAATGGGGGGTTTAATGGGTCAGCGAATTTTTGACGGATTTGTTTTCGTCTAGGAACACTCCCGTGTATAGGAAATCGCTCTCTAAAAATTTGTTAATCGCAAACGGGTTTGGCCGTCCAAAAGGGCAGGCCGCGTAGCCCAGGGGGGGGGGTTCGAACGAACCCCCCCCCCACCCCGAGCCCCCCAAACAAAACTTCTTTTTTTTTGAAAATTGGCAAGAATTTCACCGTCAGGTCGCTCCATTTTAGTGTATAATTGCAAAATCTCCATCGTGCGGGAGGTGAACATTGAACACCCCTCTCCCACATCCTCCCCCGCTCGGTCGGCTTGGCTCCCTCGCTGGTCGCTTCGCGGCCCGAGCAGGGGCGGGTGACAGGGGGGGGGGGTCGCAGGGAGTCCGGAACTCATCTGAGAGGGTCTAATTTTAAAAAAATTCAGGGGGGCGGCGTGCTCGCACTTTGGGTTACCGTATACCCCCCCTGGTACAAATCCTGTACACGCCCCTGCCGAGCAAATTGCCAACATTGAAAAAACGAACCCCCGCCCCCCCAATATAAAGCTGGCTACGGGCCTGGATAGGGTACATACATACTATAGCATACATACATACATACCATACATACATACATACATACACTACATACATTACATACATTACATACATACATACATACATACATACATAACATACATACATAATACATACATAACATACATACATACATACATACATACATACATACATACATAACATACATACATAACATACATACATACATACATAGCTACATACATACATACATACATACATACATACATACATACCATACATACATACATACATACATACATACATAACATACATACATACATACAGTACATACATACATACATACATACATACATACATACATACATACATACATACATAACATACATAACACTACATACTATACATACATACATACATTCATACATACATACATACATACATACAACATACATACATACATACATACATACATACATACATACATACATACATACATACAATACATACATACATACATACATACATACATACATACATACATACATACATACATACATATAACATACATACATACATACATACATACATACATACATACATACATACATACATACATAATATACATACATACAGTACATACATACATACATACATACATACCATACATACATCACATACATACATACATACATACATACATACATACATAGCATACATACATACATACATCACATACATACATACATACATACATACATCATACATACAATACATACATACATACATACCATACATACACACATACATACATACATACTACATACATACATAGCATACATACATACATACATACATACATACATACATAATACCATAGCATAATACATACATACATAGCATACATACAATACATACATACATACATACATACACAACATACATAACATACAGATACATACATACATAATAAAATACATACAACATCATACAGTACATGATATACATACATACATACATACATACATACATATGATACATAGCATACATACAGTACATACATACATATCATACATACATACATATCAATCAATACATAAACATACATACTACATTACATACATACATACATACATACATACATACATAGCATACATACATACATACCATACATACAATGACATACATACATACATACATACATACATACATACAATACACTCACACATACATACATACTAAACTACAACATACATTACATACATACATACATACATACATACATACATACATACATAGAACTCAAATATAGATTAGATATATATATATATATAGAAGAGAGAGAGAGAGGAGAAGAGGAGAGACGAGAGAGAGAGAAGGAGAGCAGAAGAGAGAGAGAGAGAGAGAGAGAGAAAGAGAGAGAGAGAGAGAAAGAGAGAGAGAAAGAGAGAGAAATGGAAAGAGAAAAGAAAAGAGAAAGAGAAAGAGAGGGAGAGAGAGGAGAGAAACAGAAAGAGAGAAGAGAAACAGAAAGAGACGAGAGAAGAGAGAGAGAGAGATACAGAGAGAGAGAGAGAGAGAGAGAGAGAGAGAGAGAGAGAGAGGAGAGAGAGAGAGAGAGAGAGAGAGAGAGAGAGAGAGAGAGAGAGACGGCTACTGTATGAGACTGAGTACGCGTCGCGGGATCGCATCTGTAGCATATGCAGCAGTATAGCGGCGGCGGTAATGTGTGTCACTCGATCAAATATCATCTCCGATATTAGCGTCGTGACAGGGCGTTTTAATCACCGTCTAGCTGCTGTGACGGCCAGTGCTCTCATCATCATGCATCATCATCATCATCATCATCATCATCATCATCTATCATCATCAACAACCTCATCATCATCATGCACTACGGCGGAGAGTAACTTCGTTCTTCACCTTTACGGCTGCCTAACGAGGCAAAACAAGGTGAGCTCTCTGCAGTAATGCCGCGCCGATAGCGGGGCAGTGAGAGAAAGGAAGAGAGCGAGAGAGAGAGAGGGGGAGAGAGAGAGCGCGAGAGAGAGAGAGAGAGAAGCGAGCGAGAGGAGAGAGAGAGAGAGAGAAAGAGAGAGAGAGAGAGCTATAGAGAGAGAATGGGTGGGCCGAGAGAGACAGAGAGACAGGGCAAGCGAGAGGGGGAGAGACAGAAACCAAGAGAGAGAGAGAGAGACGATATTAAGAGAGAGCAAGAGAGAGAGAGAGAGAGAGAGAAAATGGAAAAAATAAAGATAGTAATACGCGAACTCGGCATTCAATGTTTTAAATAAAGAGAGAGAGAGAGAGCGAGTGGGGACAAAGAGAGCAAATAAGAGAGAAAGAAAGAAAGAGAGTAATAAAGTGAGAGATAGAGAGAGAGAGGAAGCAAATGATAGAGAGAGAGAGAGAGAGAGAGAGAGAGAGAGAGAGAGAGAGAGAGAGAGAGAGAGAGAAAGAGAGAGAAAGAAAAGAACAAAGTTAATTTATTTTGTTTTAAGTTTAAATGTGTGTATCCAAATCATTTTACATCATTCCTGGTTGTGTGTGTGTCAGTGGGCGTATTTAGGTGTAGTGTTGGCTATTTGGGCAAGTTTTGATGATGTATTTATGTGCCGAGCGGCGAGAGATTACCAATGCAGTTTAAGCATATAAAAGAAAGGAAACTTCTTTCTCCGCAGCGAACCAGAGAGAAATGAGACAAAGTGTAGCTGTGTTAGTAGAAGAGAGTACAAGTGAGGGTTTATGTATACATCAGCTGGTTTTACTGTTTTAATTTTAGTGTTTCTGTTGTCGGCTTTCATTTATGACTCTAACATATAT